CATCGAAGGACATCATAGTTTTGTTGAAAACATTGAGGCTTTCTATCTTCTCTATATAGCTAAACATATCCTTCAGGCTATGGTTAACAATCCTTCGGCAAACTAGCTCTAGTGGTTCTACGATCCAATGTGCGACGGCATGATATGGCGAACTCGACATGTCAATTTTGGGTCGTATCGGAAACCTTTGGCTTATGCACCTTCGCTAATCCATAGAGCCGATGCGGCGACTTGTTCATAATCGACTGTTTCATCTCATTTATTGTAGATTGGCATATATTGACATGTCCTAATTCATCGCATTTTAGGAAAACACTTGTTGACGGAATAACGGCTTTTGCTCGGACCTGCTTTACGTTGGAGGATGAATTAGTTCTAATAGTGTTTCATCAGCGATTTCCTATACGCTTCCATTCTTTTGCCTATCAGCGAGTATGTCGACGTCAGAAATTTGTTCGGGTAATAAAAGGTCAAAGCGAATAAAAGGTGCCATTATTAATTTCTTTGGTTTATTGTTACTTTTACATCGTTTTCAATTGAGTAGGAATGGTATTTTGCTCGTCGGTTATTCTGAAAATAATAAGGAAATTAATTTCTCCAATTTTACTCAAGTGATCAATATCATGAATAGTATAAGTTAGAATTCACTCATTAGGATTCACCTAAAGAAAAGCGTTCAGCCAAACGCAAAGTGCATCGTTTTATGCTACTTACCATACACCGCCAATGACGAGGTGCGCAATGAGTGCTAGTATAAGGAGTCCTGAAGGATTGGATTTTGATACACCGTCTGAAACAGGTTACAGAGGATAGGCTTATTTCATGGAAGCCTCAATCATGAGGATTTTCTACAAATAAAGTAGCACTGGGCGCGCTGTAATCCTAAGATTGTTGGTGAGTAATTTACTATGTGCTTTGTACATACGAATGGTAGCTTTGCAAAACTCACCCAAAATGTAGTACACTGTTACATCGGTACCGGAGGTATCTCTGGCACGTCGAAGTAGTTGACCAGAACCCGGACCGCTTCCTTCTTGAACGCTTTTCTCTGCTGATGCTTGCTTCGGAGCAGCGGGTGGTTGGTTATCCGCCACTCCGTTCAAATTATCTTGATGCTCCTGATCTTTTTGTTGCTGTTTGTTCTTCCCGGTAACATCAGGAGATTGCTTGTCGCCTTCTGTTTCACCTTTCTCCGATTCATCTGTATTTGGTTTTGCTGCGTTCCCTTCTGGTTTGGTCGCAGGTTTCGTTATTTCCGCCGTACTTGCTTCTGTTGTGGTTGCAGCAGTAGTTGTGGTCCCCGACTCTGCACTCACTTCAATTGGTTCTTGAGATGTAAACTGATTCTTCGTC